AATTCCTGCTGAAAAATTGGCTGATAACATTATGGGAATTCCCACGATTGTGACTAGTGTTGCTTTTCTTTTGCTGCCTTTAAAACTCTCTTATCTTTAACTTTTGTCATTTTAATCATGATATGTCTTGGTGTGGATCTCTTTGAGTTCATCTTTCTTGGGACTCTCTATGATTCCTGGACCTGAATATCTTTTCATCCCCCAGATTAGGGAAGTTTTAGCCATTATTTCTTCAAATACATTTTCTGCCCCTTTCTCTCTCTCTCCTCCTTCTGGGACCCCTACAATGTGAATGTTAGTATACTTGATGTTGTCTCAAAAGTCCCTCAAACTATCCTCATTTTAAAAATTCTTTTTTTCTTTCTTTCTGTTCAGTTTGAGTGATTTCTAGTACTCTGTATTCTAGATCACTGATCTGTCCTTCTGTATCATCTAATCTACTGTTGATCCCCTCTAATGTATTTTTCACTTCAGTTATTGTATTCTTCAGTTCTGATGGATTATTTTTTTCTATTTTCTAACTCTTTGTTGAAGTTCTCACTGTGTTCATCCACTCTTCTCCAGAGTTCAGTAAGCATCTTTATGATCATTACCTTAAACTCTTTATCAGGTAGATTGCTTATCTCTGTTTCATTTAGCTCTTTTTCTGAGAGTTTTTCTTGTTCTTTCATTTGAAACATATTCCTCTGTCTCCTCATACTGCCTAATTCTCTGTTTATTTCTATGTATTAGGTAGGTCCATTACATCTCCCAATCTTAGAAAAGTGGCCTTATGTAGATGTCCTATGGGGCCCAGCAGCAAGCTTCCCTATGGCTACCAGAGCCAGATGCTCCAGGGGTATCCCCTATGTGGACTCTTTGTGCCCTTTTATTGTGTGTGAGGCCAACTCCTGTGGGCACACTGGTGGGCAGGATAGGCTCCCCAGCACTGTTGGCTGTGCAACCTGTCAGCATGCAACTGCTACAAGTTGCATGATTGCTGGTAGGCTGTGCCGGTCCCCAGAGCTAATATGCTAGAGGGAGGATTCCAATATGGTGCCCTCCAGTGCAGGTGCCGGAGTGGTAGAACGAGATCACAAAAATGGCTGCCGCCAGCATCTCACTTCCGGGGAGAATCCCAGCTGCCTCCGGTCTCTCAGTGAGGCTCTCCAAGATAAGCAAGTGGGTCTGACTCAGACACCTGTCACACTGCTGCCTCTGTGCTGGGACTTGGAGCAAGTAAGTGTCTGTGCACACCCTTTAAGAGCAAAGTCTTGGTATCCTACAGCCCTCTGGCTCTCCCAAACAAGTCCCACAGGTATTCAAAGTCAGACATTTTGGGCACTTGTATTCATGGTTTAGGACCCCCAGGATGGGGAGGTGGATGTGGGGCTTGACCCCTCAGTCCTCGTGGAGGATTTCCATTGTTGTGATTTTCCTCCTACTTAAGGACCCTTAAGTGTGGGTCCTGACAAGACCACACCTCTGCCCCTCCTACTCATCTTGTTGTGGTTTCTTCTTTATATCTTTAATTGTAGAGTACCTTCTCTGTTAGTCTTTAGGTCATTCTCAGAGACAGTTGCTCTGTAAGTAGTTGTAACTTTGGTGTGCCGTGGGAGCAGGTAAGCTCAGGGGCTTCCTACTCCACCATCTTGATCACTCCTTCTCCGTCATCCTATCTTGTCAACACCAATGTAGGCTGTAACCATCTCTTTACCAAAGAAAATAATGTATGTGTAAATGCTCTGTAAATATTAAAACCAGTTGAGTCAAAGGTATTGTTATTATCAGGATTCCCAATGTTCATTCTTAAGAAGCTAAGGAAAAACAAAACCTTCTTAGGAATTAAAAGTGAACTGAAGCAAAGTATGAGGAACAATATAGACTTCAGGGAGAATATTAATATTGACTGTGTATTCTTATTTACCATGTTATCATGCTTGCTAATACAATTTGGTTAAATAAAATATTTCACCAGCATTGCCTGCCAGAAATAACAATTTAAGCACTATAACATAAATGAAAAATAGAAATAAGTACTTACTCACAACACCAAACTGTCCCCAGAATAGAAGTATAGCCAAAATTGGGAAAATAACAGTGAGGATATTTTCATTTGGAGAAAACCATGAAACTGGGAAAAGAGAAAACAAAAATCACAATTAACATTTACTATAATCACTGTAGCTCCTGCCCATGAATAGTGAACAATATATTTTATTGTGGAGATGGAAAATAAAAACAATTAATTGAAACTTTGGTCTTAGGGCTTCCCTGGTGGCGCAGTGGTTGAGAGTCTGCCTGCCGATGCAGGAGACAGGGGTTCGTGCCCCGGTCCGGGAGGATCCCACACGCCGTGGAGCGGCTGGGCCCGTGAGCCATGGCTGCTGAGCCTGCATGTCCAGAGCCTGTGCTCCGCAACGGGAGAGGCCACAACAGTGAGAGGCCTGCGTAACGCAAAAAAACAAAAAAAAAACAAAAAACAACCCCCAAAATAACTTTGGTCTTAAAATAATTAAGTAACAAATTATACGTATAATTTAATTTATACAGCAAATTTTACTTATGAAACAAGAAACTAGTTCTTTAAGTGCTTTTCACCACATTTTCCCTAACCTATGACTTCTGGAAGGAGGTAATATGGTACAGGAGCTGAGAACAAGGTTCTGTAGCTATAGCGCCTGGCTTTGAAACCCAACCCTAACTCACAATCTCTGTGATCTTGGACAAAGTCTTAACACCTCTCTGTTCTTCAGTGTCCTCATTGTTACACTGGGATAACTGGATTGTTGTGATTGTTAACGAAGTTAATACATGAAAAGGGCCTAAAACAAATCTTGGCACTTACCAAGTGCTCAGTAAACATTAACTACAATTATTATTATGTGCTCCTACAGTGAACACCTGTATGTGTAACACGCCAAGAATTTACCTTAAACCAACAATGAAGTCTTTCTGTAAAGACTTACTCAGGGTATCAAGGTGTGGAAGTTGTACAACTGGGTACCTTCACCTTACTCTGACTAAAACCAAGACAGATGTGAGCCCTAGCTTTTCTCAAACTTACTCTGGAATAGAAGACGTATTTATGAATAATTAGGCTTCAAATGATTGTTTAGATATAAAGTAACATGAGGGGCTTTAGGTATTAAGTGGTTCACAAGTTACCTAGAGAATGATAATATGAAATGATATGTTCTATATAAAGGAAATTGTGATTTTAAGTCTTCAAAAAGATTTGTTGAGAACTTTTGAAAAATTAAGTTTAATTGCATCTTATCAACTCTTAAGATGATAATTTTACCTGTGAAATTTCTTCTCGAACAATAAAGCCAAGTAAATGCACTGAAAGCATTTCAAAGTTTGCCTGTGAAGAGGGAATGTGCTGTGCACATTTTCAAATCTTCCACTGCTCTGCCTCTGTATCAGCATGCAAGAAAACTTGTGGCCTTTCATACAGTAATACTAGCCATGCATTTCTTGTGTTAGTTTATAATGTTAAGCTCTGGTAAATGTTCACAACAATCCACAGAATATAATATTATGAATTCTATCTCACAGATATTGACCTTCCATAATCTAGCATTTTGCACTACACATAGTAGAGACTCAGTTGGTTTGTGGCTGAAGGTTCCAACAGTCAAAAAATAGTGAGTGAATGAAAGAGAGTTTTTTGGGGTGGGGAGTGGATGCTCTCATGGTTGCAGATCTCTACCAAGAGACAGATGTTTTCAGATACTCTGAATTCATATCTTAATTTACAACTGAATTACTGAGCATCTTCCTATACCAAAGAAAACCCATTTCAATTCAGTCTAAAATCCTACCAGGAAAAACCTTCATGAATCATCTTTAGTTTTTCGTATCTAATGCCCAGAGGATTTGGTAATCAATGATCTAATGACTATTCTTAACCTGTTTTTCTCTACTTGCTTTATTATTTTTTTTGAGTTGTGTACATTAACTCCTCAAATCCTCACAACTATTACATGCCTCCTATCACTGAGGAAACTGAGGCCTAGAGAATTAAGGGTCTTAAGTATCTTAAATCTTCATGTCCCAAACTGACTCCTGAAACTCCTCCCCCTACTCCTTCAGCAAACCTACCCTCTCAGTTTTCCCCATTTCAGTAATGGTGACCCCATTTCTCCAGTTGCTCAAGCTAAGAACCTTGGGGTCATCCTTGACTCCTTGACTTCTCTCACATCTCACTTCTGGCCTGACACTAAATCCTGTGGTTGCTACCTTCAAGATACAGCCAGAATCTGATCTCATGTTCAACATGGGCTGACAATGAAATGTTCTTTCTTCACTGGCCTCCCTCCTTACACAACAGAACAATCTTCAACAGTTTTAGCATATATTAATAGAAATCTACCAGTGAAAATAAGAAGTGTATTTGACCTGGTCTGACCACTCATTTTTCACTTACTACACAAACATTTATTAAAAGCCCACCATGGGTAGGGTACTCTTCTAGGTACCTGAGATCTAGCAGTAAATAAGCCAGGTGGGGCTACCAGCTTGAGGAGGGGGAGGGGCTGAAGAACAGACTCTTATGGGTAGTAAGGCCTCATGGGGAGAGGAACTGGCTCTGAGCCTTGGACTGGAAAGAGCCTGCCATGTGAGGACAGGGGAGAAGATATGCCAAAGGAACAGCAAGTTGGAGCAACTGAATGATGGCCAGTGTAACTAGAATTTAATGATACAAGATAAGATGGAAAGAGATTGCTGGGATTAAGAACTCTCTAATTACCTGTTACCTCTCTCTAATTTGTTAAGGTGGGAAAAGTCTTCTCAGCTTGTTAAGAAAGTTTGGATTTTATTCTATAAGCAATGAAATGTGATCGGAAACCTTCAAGTAGGGAAGAAAAGTGACCTGATTTATTTAAAATCTTCTTTGGCAGCCTTGAAGGGAATGGATTATAGAGAAGCAGGACCTACCAGAAAGTTAATGCAGCCATCAGGCAGTAGCAGGAAGGTAGGACACGGCCCACAAATGCAGTCCTGAGTTCAGTTTTACTCGTCAAATTTAAAGACATAATAGGGAATCGTCCCAAAGGAAAGTGACTAGAATAGGGATGCTGAAACCATGAGCAATGGCTGAAGGAACTGGGGATTTTTACCTTAGAGAAGAATAAACTTGGAAGAGAAATACCATACCTCCTAGTGAGTGAGAAATTGCAGGGTTGCAAGTTTTAGCTTGACTTCAGGAAGAATTGGAACTGCCTGATAATAGACTAAAATCCTCTGGGCAGTAACAGTCTCTTCCCGTCATGCGCTTAGGTAAAAATTTGAATGGGAGGGGGCGGGCCCGTGCGGGTCTCCAAGCCGCCCGCCCTGCAGCAGAGAGGTCACAGCGAGAGGCCGCCCCCCAATGCTACAGTCGCCGTAGGTCGGAGCGCCGGCCTGCACCGTGGCCTACTGCTGGCAGGAAGGGAAGGATCGAATCGTATTTGTGACCAAAGAAGACCATGAAACTCCAAGCAACGTGGAGCTGGCGTCCGACGACCCCAATGATCCGTACAAGGAGCACGGGCTGATCCTGCCCCACAGAGATCTCAGCTGGAACTGCCCGTGCCTTGGGGGCATGGCCAGCGTGGCGTGTGGGGAACAGTTCAAGGCGGCCTTTTCCTGCTTCCGCTGCAGCACAGAGGATGTCAAGGGGTCGGACTGTGTAGACCAGTTCTGGGCCATGCGGGAGTGCATGCAGAAGTACCCGGACCTCTATCCCCAGGAGGAGAAGGAGAAGCCAACGGATCGATTAGAGGAAATGGCTGCCTCTGAGGCCACCACAACCAAAAAAGAGGAGGGGTCCAGCTGATGAAGGCCCGGGGCGCGCTGGGCTCCAGCCTCCTTCAGAGAGGATGAACCTCTCCAAGAAAATGTCTCTCCCTCTGTTGTTCTGTGCACTGTACTGTACAAAATAACTTACTGTGCTGATCAGGGGTCTTGGCCCCTTGACATATACACTGAAAAATGGGCTGTATGTATGTGTGTCTCACATAACCTATCAGCGAAATGTAGCTGCCACTTTTGAATTCTCTTCTCATATTGTCCTGAATTTTGCCACTTTGAAATAACGTGCTGAATAATCTCAGCAACCCAACCTCATTATCTGGGAGTGTCTCTTGTGAGTGAGCAGATTTATTGTGATTCCTTGTATCCCTTTAGTAGATTTTATACCTAGTTGGAAAGCGAAAGAGAAACATCTTCCTTTAAAAATGCTGGAGCGGGGCCATTCCTTGTAGAAGAGGCAGGATGATCAGCCCTTGAGTATTTGACGAAGCGCTATGCTTCGTTTCTGATATATTTTGGTTTCCAGTTTGCATTGAGCTCCAGGTTTTCTACATTTGGAAAACAGAGCTTTGTACCCTCTGAGTGACTCCCTTTGTAACTGAAGAGAAAGGCTGTTTATTTCTGTTCTTGTTATTCCAAAAGCCCTGGTTTGGGGTCTGTGTTCACACTGGCTCTGTCTCAGCCTGTTCAGATACAGTGTTCTTGAGAGGTGGGGACCTAATCATTACCAAAGTAGCACCCGAGAGAGGAAACGGTGTCAATTAAAAGGAAAGCATGATTTTTACCTGAAAGAAAAATTTTTTTGAATGACCAACTACCTGGGGTGTGATAGAAGTAATTCAGGAATTACATGGGCAGATAGACTAGATGACTAATAGCTGACTCTATACCTCTATGCAGAAATAATAATAAGAGCTATTTCAAAGACAGAGGGTGGGATTATAGAACAAAAAATATTATTGTCTAAGTGATTCTTAACTGGAGCTTATCAGAATTACCTGGAGTTTATGCAAACGCCACATACTCTCCCCTTTCAGCTTCTACCCCAATAACTGTGTGTGTGTGTGTGTGTGTGTGTGTGGCAGGGGTGGAGTGACCCACGAGTCTCTCAATTTAAAATCACTGCTGCATCTCCCTGCTGTAATTTGTCTTCTCTCACTGACATGAACATGTTACCTCTCTCTAATTTGTTATGGTGGGAAAAGTTTGAGGATCACTGAATTGGATCTTTGAGTAGCAAATGAGATGCTAGGGAAAAACCCAATGTTTTATATAAAACTATGTATATGCCCATTAAGCTACTGATTTGTTAGAGTAATTAGTACTGTCAGACGACTAACTCTTTGTTTCCCGAGGGGAGAGGGAGACAAGATACTTCTCTAAGGTCCCTTTCAGTTCTGAGTTTCTATGGCACTAAGAAAATAAATTAAGCTTAAAATGGACTAAGAACAATATTAGATACTTTTCCAGCCCAGGATTAAGAAAGATGATCCAAAGTCAGTCAAACTCTTACTCCACCCAAGCTACGTCTGACAACTATGCCCATTATTCTCCAATTCCTAGTCAGGTAGAGTGGCTCGCAGGAAAATAAACTTACTAGTGGAAAGGCAACGAAATGATACTAAGAGGATGTGGTCTGTGGATAAGGGCTTACATTTTGCTTCCAAGTTTAAACATTATAAAAACCCAGGACCTCGTTTCTCTTATCATTGTGTACAAAATGGGATGACCTGAAAGAGCCAAGGAATCACTCTCATCAATTAAGTGTGCCTCTCCTTCAAATATATACAAGCTACACCTCCATGCACAAAGAACACGTTTCCACAGAGAAGGATCACGATAAAATTTCTGACACTAAAATTCAAGCCAAATTTCTACTTGATGCTTCAGGACTGTGATGCTTTTTCTTTTTTCTTTTCTTTTTTTTTTTTTTTTTAATGTATTGACTTGGCTAGGGTATAGTCCCCAGTTATTTAATCAAAGCCAGAATTCTAAGGTAGCCCCCTGAAAGCAGCCTTTTTAAATTCCCTCCCCTGGAGGGAGGGATGGGACTGTGAATATGATGGATTTCATTCCCCTGATTATATTGTTTCACATGGCAAAGAGATTTTGCTAAATGTAATTAAGGCCCCCAATCAGTTAACTTTGAAAGAGTGATTATTCTTGAGGGAGAGGGGGCAGACCAAATAAGAGCTTAAAAGGGTTTGGGATTCTTCTAGCAAAAGAAATTCAACATGTTCAAGAGGGATTCAACAAGAGGAGGATTCTCCTTAGCTGGCTTTAAATATGGAAGAGGCTGTGTGGCAAGGAATGGGAGCAACCTCTAGGAGCTAAGAGAAGCCCCCATCAGACATCTAGCAGAGAAACAGGGACCTCAGTCCTACAATCACATGGAATTGAATTCTGCCAAAACCATGTGTGCTTGGAACAAGACCCAGAGCTCCTGATGAGAACACAGCCTGCTAATACCTTGATTTTAGCCTCGTAAGACTGGAGAACCCAGTCATACCATGACCAGAATTGTGATCTACAAAGTGGTGAGCTAATAAATGGGTGCTGTTTAAAGCTGCTACATTTGTGGTTGTTTGTTCATGCACTTGAAAACTAACACGAGGATCTCCAAATGCCTTCATGTCCACATTATGAACATAACGTATCTCATGATGATGGTAATGGAAATGGCAACTTTGCTAAACTTGAACAGACCTTTTAAAACAAAACCCTAATAGCTTACTCAGAAAAAAGTAAAATTTTAAGTCTCCAAGTTCTTGTATCATTAATACTATAAGTATAAACATTAATAACACATTTTATAACTATTATTATTTACATTTAGTAATCTGGTTGTTTACAAGGTGTTTCCACAGAAACTATATACAGTGGTGGTAAACATACTGGTTTTAAAGACAGAGAGATCTAGGTTAAAATCCTGGCTATGACTCTGGTCTTGAACAACTACCCTAAATCTCTCATGCTTCCTCATCTGTTAAATGGTAAGACCTATACCTATCTCCTAGAGTTCTTGAGTTCAGGACATAATATACATAAACTATCTGGCACATATACATAAACTATCTGTGCCCTAATAAATGTAAGATTATTTTACTGTTCTTTTGTACTATCACTTCCTTGAAAGTAGGGATTATGTCTTCATCATCAATGAATCCATAGTGCCTAGCACAGCGCCTGACACATAGTAGGTGCTCAATAAATCTTTGTTAAGTAAGCAAGATATTTTGAACAAGCCTGTGATGGAAATGGTATTCCCATCTTACAGATAAAAATCAGAGGGCCAGACAGGTTGAGTTTTTTATCCAAATTTTCTTAAACTAGAAAATGGTAATGTATTGAAAAAGCTGTCTAAATTCAAGTCCTGTGCTCTGTCCATGGTACTATACTATACGTAGGCACCAGAGGTATATAAAATCTCACAGAGAGGTATACTTATCTCATAGGTAGTATTTCTAAAAAACTGTGCTCCAAAAAAAGGGCACAAAGAATGGCCACCCTTAATTCACATTCTACTAAGTGGAATTCTCTATTACACAATTTCTATTCCTCACTTATGCCTATATTTGTGAAAAAGTACCACATTGTAAAAATGGTTTCTATTGCCTAAATCCCCAAAGTCCCCATGATGGGTAAGTCTCATTATCACAATACATTTGTATTCCACTATAAGAGTCCTGCTCCAATTAACTTTTTGTACAGAGAGAAGGTTTTTTTTTTTTTTTTCCAGTAAAAAATGGGTACAAAATAATGACATGACAACAGTAGATGCTGGCAAGGATGTGAAGAAACTAGATCACTCATATGTTGCTGATGGGAATGTAAAATGCTACAACCACTCTGCAAAACAGTTTGGCAGTTTCCTTCACTTTGTTATACAGCAGACACTAACACACCATTGTAAAGCAATTATACTCCAATAGAGATGTTAAAAAAAACAAACAAACAACTAAGCATACACTTGCATACAGCTGAGTAATTGTACTTCTGGGCATTTATTCAGTGGAATGAAGATTATGTGCACCTAAAAACCACTATATGGTAGTTCACAGCAACTCCATTTGTAACAGCCAAAAACTGGAAACACCCAAAATGTCCTACGATAGGTGAACAGTTAAACAAGCTGTGATATACCCATACCATGGGATACTACTCAGCCAAAGAAGAGAGAGAAAGAGAACAAACTATTGATACAGGCACAACTTGGATAGATCTCAAGGGTACTGTGCTGAGTGTAAAAAGCCAATCTCAAAAGATTACATACTAGGGCTTCCCTGGTGGCGTGGTGGTTGAGAGCCCGCCTGCCGATGCAGGGGACACGGGTTCGTGCCCCGGTCCGGGAAGATCCCACATGCCGTGGAGCGGCTGGGCCCGTGAGCCATGGCCGCTGGGCCTGCGCGTCCGGAGCCTGTGCTCCACAGCGGGAGAGGCCACAGCAGTGAGAGGCCCGC